ATGTCCCTAATGTCCAGTTAGGTCAACTGCTCATCCCCACCTCTGTTCTCTAGAAACTCTCGAAGCTGGCTGCTCTCAACTGACTGAAGACTGTGAGAGTTCCTTACACGACCAGGAGTGGGCCATGAACGCAGTTTGTGCATTCAGAGACCTACCTGAGGACCTCACAGTGGTAAGACACAGGGTCAGGGTGGGCTCACCTGACAGGTCTGACGTTCAAGGCAGCTTTTCCTGGAGCAGTAGAAGTTGGGAGAACATCGCTGTTCTCCAGAGCCCAGCTGTCTCACTGTAGCCTGGAGGCCCCAAAGTCACCTGGTGGTGGCAGGAGATACTGGGGAGAGTGACCTGGGCCACCCCTGAGGAGGATGGGTAGTGGGAAGGAGGGCAATGGCCTCTCTGGATGTTGGAAGGAGGAGGGGAGAGGAAGCAGCCTTGCATTTGTGTCACCATCATCAGGGGGTTCTTAGTGCTGTTCAAATGCTGCAGGCTCCAGTTAAGTACCACAAATGCCCCTGGGAGTGACTATGGGCGAGCTGACCATTTCCTGTCTTACTGAACAGGGAGGCAGCATGGTCACCCAGGCCTGGGTTGCAGGTTCACTAGGATGGAGCATGTTATACGATGAAATAGAAACTAAGGGCAGAAGAGACAGGACCCTGACCTTGCTTCTCAGCCCTGGCAGCGTCTGGGCTGGTACACAAGGTCTGGACTTTCCAGAGGCAATGGAAGCTACTGGGGAAGCCCCATTAAACTGCCAAGGGAGCCCTGAGCCTTGGCACTGCAGAGCTGATAGGGGCTGCTGGGAGCTGCTGGCTGTGACGTACAGCACTGTGCTGCTCTGCACTGAGATCACGGCACTGAAAGCAACACCAACTACAACAAGCATGAAAAGTAAAACTCGTAGCAAGAGGCCAAAAGTTAACAAGAAATAGACAATTTTTAATGGTATATAAATATATATTCCATTTTCTTTCTTTCTTTTTTTTTTTTTTTTGAAACAAGGTCTTGCTGTGTAGTTCAGGCTGGTCTTGAACTCGCTATGCAGCCTAGGTTGGCCAGAACTCACAGCAGTCCTCCTGCTTTACTTTGTGAATGCTGGGATGATAGGTGTGCATCACCAAGCCTGGCTAAACTAATCTTGAAGACTCCTCTGATCTTGTGGTGCGAATAAAGCTTTTGTTACTGGCAGAGACCCTTTCCACGGCACCAGTTATCAAGGACTCCTACAGTGAGTCCCCAATTTTTTGTCCAGAGTCACACATGGTGGGAAGAAAAAGCAAGAGACAAAATAGGGGTGCTGTAGGGATCTGGGGTGACCAGTTGTTCATGGAGAACAAAAGCCCATATGATACCCAGAACAGCAGTGTTTATTCCTTGAGGAAGATGGTGAAGTGTTGAGGTTGGATGTGACAGACAAGTGGCGAGGCGCGCCGGGCTCGCAACAGAGGAGATAAGCGTTCTGGTGGAAGGGACCGAACAGGCAGATCTAGGTTATGATCAATGAAAGCTTGCTTTGTAGCCAGTTCTGGGAAGGAGTTTTCCTCTGGAGTCATGCAGGCCTCAGCAGAGACCCTGTCTCCTGCCTTAGCCCTGTGGCATCACTGCTCTTGTCTATTTGAGCCCAACCATGGCCACTGATGACCAACAGGGCTAGGCCATCATCAGCCACCCGCTGTCATGAGGCTGTGTCATAGCCTCACCCAGACCCACTACTTAAATGGAAACCAATTTAGAGAAGTCAATTCCAGCTCACAAGTAATGACAATGACACTTGCGTCTGGGGGATGTGGCGGTCCTCAAAGTTACTTTAGGACATTTTTGCTGTACGTAATTGTCTGTTAGGATGGCAGCTCTGGCCCGGGCAGAAACAAAGCCCCTGTGGAGCAGCTAGTCTTTCCCTGGAGGCAGAAGTGACACCTCCACTCTTGTGCCCGCCCTCCACTCCTGCCTCACCTCCCAGGCTGGTTCCACGTTTGAGCACAGTGCTCATATAGTGAAAGACCCCTTCTCCCAAGAAAGAGCCCATATGTTTCTGTCTGGGCTCACTTTGCTTGTGTGTCGGACTGGTTGCTGGCTGGATGGACAGGAGGTTGGAAAGGGGGAATTCTGACTTAGACCTCATCTCCCCTTCCCCAGAGCAGAGCTGACCCATGTGAGAGCCACCCAGGCCCCCAGGACCAACATATCCCGAGTCCAGTGGGAGCCACGGCCACGCCAGGCTCTGCATGGAGAGAGCTTGTACTTTTCATCATGCAGCTCGCTTGGCTGCAGACCGACTCCTTGATACCCCATCCTGGAGTCCCGTAGTTGGAACGAATACAGAAAAATCAGTCTGAAGCTGCTGGGAGGAAAATCACCCGGCTCTGCTAGACCTGAGGTCTAGGGGCTGTGTGAGTGGCTGCTCCCTAGGGGAATAAATGGCAGATCAGAGAAAATGCTCTGGCAAACTCCTGATTTATTTTTAATGGTCTGAGAGCCTGAAAGTGGACAGGAACTAATCATCATGCAGGAGGGACCTGACAGAAGGGCCACTAGAGAGCCCTGGAATCCCAGAAGAGGGTAGATAGGAGGGTCCAGAACTGCCAGGCTGGGGGACTGGAGAGGAGTGGGGAGTGCATCCGTAGCACCTATGGAGCTGGGGAGGGGCTGGAGGGGGAAGGAAGGGGTGTGCCGGGCTAGTCTCTTCATTTGCAGAGGACTGAGCTAGCAGCCGGAGCTCCACCCAGCTCAGGCAGCTTCCCAAGGCAGCGCATGTCCACACAGACGTCTCAGATTTGGCCTATGTGCACGTGTACGCAGAACACATGCCCAGCTTTCCTTGGAGGGAAGACGTGCCCTTTCATTTTCCGACCAGGGCCAGGGCTCCACATCGTGTATCCACCCATCTCGGGGTGTGCATCCTGCTCTGGGGTGAGGACCTATGTGTGAGTGCGAGTTCTGAGGACAGCTCTGAGGCCTCATTTGTCACTGAATCAGTTGTGACCCATGAGGCCAGGCAGCACGGCACTCTGCCTAGCAGGCGATGGGCCAACGGGGGACCTCAGGGACCGTGGGCAGAGCCAGAAGATCTGGGGGAGACTGGTGGCCCTTATATGGTCTCCTTAGAAATCTGTCACCTTTGACCTGCCTTCATGTGGTGGGCTGAAAGCATCGCTGGGACCTGTTTTAATTGGGGACTGGGGACATGCAGTGTAACAGGACTGCCATGCATTGGGCTTGTGCTGGTGCTCACAGATCCCTCACAGAGGAGGCAGGGCAGTGGTGCCAAGATCACTCACAATGCTGTCCAGCTTGTGGGCATGTGGAAGGCTCCTAGGCCCTCTCTCCCAGGAGTGCCCTCTCATGTGAATTTTCTAGAATGACTTATAGAGTCATTCATCTTCATCTGCTGGGTTATCACAAGATGTATATGTGCAAGTAAAGAAGTAGGAAGGTCCCAGCATGGAGACTTTGGAGTCTCCATGGCATCAGGGGGCACCCTTCACCCATACATGGATGTTCTTGAGCTCCATTGCTTAGCCTGCTCTTGAAGCCCAGATCCAAAGGCATGACTAATGATGTCAACCCAGAGCAGGGGTCAGGGCTGGAGGGTGACCTCTGAACTCGTGGCTGCTCCACTGGCACCTGGCTCCATCCCAACATTACCTCGAGAACCTCATGAACAACAAAAAGACATTCAGTGCTTTGGGGAATTCAGAGGTCTTGAAAGTCTTAGGGTCAAGAGCTGGGTACTAAGAACAAGTCCTGAAGGAGAGATGTTCTGCCACCTGTGCATTCAGGCCAGATCTCTCTCCTGTGTATCACCGCCACCTCCCCACCTTACTGAACATTCAACCTGCCTGCAGCGAGAGCATCACCCTTCCCCAGAGCCTGCTCCTCCTCTGTACCCCTCCCTGTGTGCTTGCTCCATCCTTCCAGTCCCCTGAGCCTACATCTGTGACAACTCTGTCTTTGGCCTCCTTCTACCAGCAGGTCCCAGAATTACTGTTGCACCAGACTCCAGCATCGCGTTCCACCCTCTGCTCATGGTTCTGATGCCTGCCATCTCTCTCCTGGTGGCATCGATTTCCCCTCCTGAGCATGGTATTCGGGATCTTGTGCTCTAACTCCACACATCCTTCTTCTCTACTCTGGGTCTGCAGTGTGGGCAGCTTTCCTCTATCCATCCAACTCCTGGGACATTCGGCCTGAGGCGGGGGTCATCTGGGTTGCCACTGTGGGCATGTGGACTTGCTGACAAGTCCGCATGGTGACATGTTCAAGAGCTGCATTTGTCAGGTCTTGGCTACCACTGCCCTCCTCGCCGGGACATGGGCCTGTGTGGCCTCCCCTTCCTCACACGCCCACCGTGCAAGCTCCCTCTGAAGGCCCTGCTTGTCTGTGTGCATGCGACTCTCTGCAACCCGAAGCCTGGCTCGCCAGAACCTCGTGGGCTGGCTGGCTGTTTCTATCTTCCGGCTTCTGAACTGGTCGCCCCATTGTTGGTGCTTTCATCCTCTGGTTGCACAGGAAGCTTCTAGAAAATGCTTATCACTTGCTCCCGTGTCTCCGGAGTCTTTCTTGTGTGGAATGGGTGTCATTCGTAATCTTCATGGTGCCCACTTGAGGTCCAGGTCATCACAGACCCTAACTGTAATGTGGTGATTGAACTGAGTGGCCACAGCAGCCCCAGGGGCCTGAGCACAGCCCTTCCCCTGCTCCAGCCCCCTTTTCCAGCATATCCTATGGCTTCTCAGAAGTGCGTCATGAGGGGCTCAGTGAGAAGGCCTGGTTGTCGGGACACAGGCTGTCACAACTGGCCAGGTCAGTAACAGTGAATCCACCTCTGACACACTTGGTAAATGTGTAACTGGACCCCTTACCAACTCATCTGCTCAGCAGCAGAACTGCATTGATTTCAGGCCTTACTGGAAGGGGCCCAGCCTGACTTCATCCTGGCCAAGCAGGGCAGCCAGGCCCCTGTCCCGTCTGTCCTCCCCACCACCCCCAGCCTGTGTACAGAGTGGCTGGGAACTGCTCCATCCCCACCCCTCGCATATAAATGGGGCCTGCACAGCCAGCCAGGGAAGAGCTGCGCTCCTCTGTCCAGATAAAGCGGGAGGTGAGTGGAGCCCTGGGCTCCTTCCCTGAGACTCCCTGCAGTAGCCCTGCAGCCCTATAGTCAAGTTGAGGACAGAGAGGAATGGCAGGGTGAGGGCTATGGGAGGGGCTGCTGAAAGGCATTCAGCTTTTATTCGGAGCATGAAGCTAGAGGTGGGTGGTAGCAACCACCACAGGGGACATGGTCGCCCTGCTGTTTACCCCTACAGTCTGTCCTCCCCAGAGCCTCCTTTCCCTCAGCCACAGGGCAAGGCAGACAGATTCTCCTGCTTCTTAACAGAGTAGGGCCTCGAGGGCAGAGAGTGGCCTGGGGCCAGCGTCAACCTGGCCGAGAGCCATGGGGCCTCTTTCTGTCCCAGGGAAGATTGAGGCTTTGCTCTATGGGCCACAGGGCTGGTGGGGAGGCAGGGTTCTTGGAATCATCCAGAGCTTGAGGACATGTGACACTAGGCAGTGTCTCTGGTCCTAGACTCAATGTCAGGTCAAGGTGATCTGGCTTTTCACTGTGCTGCCAACACCAAGGCTTGCTCCTCTGACACCTGAGACCCCAACCACCCCTTGCTCCAGAGCTAGAAGTGCTTTCCAGACACTAATGAGGCAGGCTTTTGTTTTGCCAAGAGACAACTTAAGTCGGTGCTGACAATCCACCTACAGAATCCAGGTTTTTTGTCCTTAGGGATGTGGGCCTTTCTTGGTAGGGGAAGGGACCATGCTTGATGGGGCTGCTTTATCATGGAGGAAACAGACATCGAGGTGCAGAACAGATACCAGGGTATAGTGAAGAGGGTTTGGAGGTGGCAAATGTTGTGTGTGGAGGAGTGGGATGTATTGAGGAGGATGGGGGATGCTGGCAACAGGGCATGGACACAGGACAGTGCTGAGCAGAGCCCTCCAGCGTGGGCAGTGTGACAGAAGCCACTAGACCAGGCACAGGAGAGACTAGGGGGTCAGCCCATTTGTTCTCAGGTCCCTGTTTGTACCAATAAAAGATCAGCTTGGGCAGCAGACCTCAGTGGAGATCAAAGAGCTGCTTCTGCCTAAGGACAGCTATGGCCCTGTCCTGCGGCAGTGCCCATGACACTGTTTCCTCTGACAGCAGCAGTATCAAGTGTCCTGACAGTGCTCCCCAAAACAGTGGTCTTGAGTTTTCCTGCAGACAGTGTCTGTGACAACTTCCAAGTGACAGCACCACTCTTTGGCACTGAAAATGGGGGAGGCATAATGTCCGCTGGTGTGTCACAGGCCGTGGGCACTGGTAAGCAGATCCTGGCTGCCACAGCCCCGATGATCCCGCCTGACTTGTATTATATCAGCACAAGCAGGCACTACAGGTCCCTCTTGTAGGGGATGCCACCTTCCCATGCCTAGTGGCTTCCCGTGAGCACAGTGGGTTGAGTCAGAGGCTGGTGAGGTGGTGGCTGATCAGAAGTCAAGGTCTCCTGGTGGTTGAATAACTACAGCAGAACAGAGCACACTTTGAAATTTCTGCAGATTCACTATGAAGGGGAAGACGAGAGTACCCTGATCTGAGCATTGTGATGTCAGTCAGCTTCAGATCACTGTATGAAAGTCTGATGATTTAACATATAAAGAAAAAACCTTCATGTTGTCTCATGAATTTAGTTTCCACTCTGAGCTTTCTCGGACTCACTACTTATTTTTCTGTGGAGGTAGTTAGCACCACAAAGTCAGCAAAACAAGACCCTTCTTCCTAACAGTTCTACCACCTCCTCCCAGTACCATGCTGGGGACTAAGCCTCTAACCAATGGGCCTTTGGGGGACAGTCATCCAAATCACAGCACAATGCGATTGAGGCTTTGCTGGGCATATGCAGACAAGGAAAGCCAGATGTTAAGGAGTTTTGACTCTGGGCTGGGATGCCGCCCCTCCAAGGAAGTCCTGCCCAGCACTGGGCACAGGGCCCAGGCGAGCTCCCATGTATTGTCCACCACAGTCAAGGCTGGAGCAGGGCCATGGCTGGAGGGTCAGGAGCCAGGGCTCATGAGGTGGGGGGCACTGAAATTTGGCTGGGCGTGGCAGTGACCTGAGAAGTTAACAAGTCTCTTCCTGGCCCTTCACAGATTATCAAGGCTGTGGTAGGGCAGTGTGGGCTGTGTGGGCAGAGTCCTGGAGCCCACTGGATGTTGCTAGGGTGTAGCTGGGAGCTGGTCTGGAGCTGGAGATGACAGAGAAAGGGCTGGTCTTGGGGTGAGCCCACCATGCTCAAGCCTGGCTTCATGTCAAGACCTGAGGCCTCCAGAACCTGTTCCCGAGCCCCATTCCAGGGAGATTAGATTACTATGAAGTAGGAAGGAGGGGTCCTCAGGTGTCTGGGTGCATTTCATCCTCCAGGTCCTCTAGGGGCAAAGTCACTGCCATCATCATGGGTGCGATTTAGCCTGCTAGGGCTGCAGTAGTAAGGGCTACAGCTTGGGGAACCAATACAGAATGTATAGTTTCCCACCCTGAAGCACAAAAATCTAAAGTCAAAGTGTGGATAGGGCCGGTCCTGTGCTTTGCAGACGGTGTCTTCCTTCCATATCCCCACTCTACACGTCTGTGTTCTGATCTCCTCTTCCTATTATAACACCAATTAGATTGGGTCAAGGTTCACTTTAACTTGGAAGGACCTCACTTTAACTCAGTCACCAAATTTCCAAATATAGTCTTGGGTCCTGGGATGTGGGCTTTAGCACGTAAATCCACAGGGTGCAGTTCAGCCTCTAATGGTATGTTTTACCCTTGGACCATGTAGATGCTCTGCAGGCATGCCTGAGTTCATTTTGCTGCTTAATAATACCTATAGACATGGACAGATTTCTCCAAGTCAGTTGGCTGCTGGAATGACCAACAGAATGGGTGCACATCACTGGATAACCATCTTTCCCCTCTCGCACAGTGTTTTTTAGGATACAGACAAGATGGTCACCAGTGTGGGCTTCAAAGTCACTGTCCTTTGCCTCCTGGCTTGGACTGGCCTGGCTGCTGCCGATCGGGTGTACATCCACCCTTTCCACCTCCTCTTCTACCCTGAGAGTAGCTGCGTCCAGTTGGAGAAGTCCAGTGTGGAGACGCCCCAGGAGCCAACCTTCACACCTGTCCCAGTGCAGGCCAAGGCCTCTCCTATAGATGAAGCTGCCTTGCACGAGGGGCTGGTGCTGGCTGCTCAGAAGCTTGCACCTGAAGATCTGCTGCGGGCCAGCCAGGTTGGGACGATGGCCAACTTCCTGGGCTTCCGCATGTATAAGACTCTGAACGAGGTGGAGAACACAGCCGGTGGGGACATCCTCTCCCCAACGGCTCTCCTTGGTACCCTGGCCTCTCTCTACCTGGGTGCCCAGGATTCCACAGCCAGCCAGCTGCAGACACTACTGGGTGTCCCCATGCAGGACCAGGGCTGCACCACCCGGCTGGATGGACACAAGGTCCTCTCTGCTCTACAAGCCATTCAAGGCCTTCTGGTAGCCCAGGACCAGCCCAGTGACCAGGCACAGATATTGCTGTCCACCGTGGTAGGCCTGTTCACAGCACCTGACGTGCGCCTGAAGCAGTCATTTGTGAGGGGCATGGTTCCTTTCGCCCCTGTTGTCCTCTCACGTTCTCTGGACATGAGCACTCACCCAGTTTCTGCGGGTAAGAAGATCAACACGTTCATACAGGCTGTGACAGGATGGAAGACGGATGGGCTTCTGTCAGGTGTCACCCCAGGCAGCAGCCTGTTGTTCAACACCTATGTCCACTTCCAAGGTAAGGACAACTCCCAGGCAGCCTGGCACTGGCTAGTGTCCAAGGGTGGTGATCCTGGCTCCTGTGACTTTAGTGTCCAAAGGCTGGGCTTTACCAAGCAGGGCAGACCATGCAGACAAGAGCAGCAGCCATGTGGAAGGAGTTGGAGGCCTCCCTGAGGGGGTGGGAGGAGACTGCCAGCCAGGCCCTTGGGTCCCCCGCCTGCCCACAATACGTGTGGCTCCTGGGCAAGCCTCTGCTCTCATCTGTTCCCCGCTGATGAATCCAAATGTGTTGTGACAAGAAGGGAGCTTGAGCCTGGTGGAGGCTGGAGAAGGCAGTCCTGCTCAGACCCATCCCTGCAGCCCACAGAGGGTGCCACATGCAGGCAGGGAGGACAATCAAAGTCATGCATGTGACAGCCCGGACATGTAGTCGCAGAGCTGTGCACCAGAACTGTGAATTCATGGGTAGCTGGTTGGAGAGGGGAGTGTTGACAAGGTTTGGCAGGAAATGCACAGCTGGGGGCAGAAGTGCCACACAGGCAACTGTGGACAGAGCAATAGGGTGAGAGCAAAGTGGGCTGGCCCCGATGATTTCCCACCATAATATCCTCACGTCTCTGCAAAGCCCTTGTGCCTGCTTTTGGGTGCTAGGAATGGACAGGCTGAGGAACTGTCAGGCACTGCCACTTGGGCAGAGGTGAGGCCCACCCTGTGCAGGGCAGAGGGGAACTTGGGGATGAGACTGCCATTTTCAGGGCTCTTTGAGAAAGAGCCCAGCGATGCAGGCAGGAGAGCCACCGGTGGTAGGGAGTCTCACCTGGGCGCAAGGCCCATCCTCACAGTCCAGGCTGGAAAAGATGCAGAGCTAAGGAAGAAGAGGAAGGAAGTGAGGAAGAGGAAGCCAGACTCGCGGCCACCTACACCTGCGCTCGGGCTGCCCTTTCCTGTCTCAGTTCCCACCAGATGGAGATCCTCCCACGCATTGATGAGCCTGTAGAGGAGCAGGCTGTTTCAGAAACTGTGGCATGTGTGGTGTTGGGCCTAAGTCACAGGTGCCCTTTGTCGGAAACTTGCCTTTTTTTTTTTTTTTTTTTTTTGAGGAACCGGGGATTGAACTCAGACCCTTGCGCTTGCAAGGGAAGCCTATACTCCACTGAGCCATCTCCCTGGCCCACAGGTGCCCTTTGTCAGTACTAGGTGCTCCCCAGGCTTGGCAGGTCCCGTGGCACCAGCTGGGTTGAACCTGAGCTCAGGTCTAGGGTCACAGCAGGGTTGATGCCTATCTGTCTCTTCATTCTGGTACTCAAGGCCAGGGATGCTGAGAAGTGGAGCCTTCATTCTGGATCCTGGGTGTTGGTCTGATCCAGGACTTTGGGAGGGAGGCAGGGACCTGGGAGCAAGCACTGCTGCGGCTGTCAGAGCTGGACGTGGACAGGTGTCCTTAGAGCGGTGAGATGACTATGTGTGACACTAGTGGTAGACACGTCATGGTATATTATCCAGCCCTGCAGTGTGCCCAATACCACAAGTGAAACCCACATGTGACAATGAATGACCACCTAGCCTTAGGTGTAACAAATTTGGAGGCTGGGAGTGTGATTCAGTGGTGAGTGCTTGCCTGGTGTGTGCAAAGCACTGAGCTCCATCCCCAGCAACACACACACACACACACACACACACACACACACACACACACACAGAGTCATAGCAATCAGCCTAGTGTGGTGTAAAGTGTCCATGATGGCAGGCAGGAATTATACAGAAAATCTCTGCATTTTCTGCTCAGGCTTGTGAATCTAACATAGCACTTTAAAAATGTTGGGGTCGAGGAGATGGCTCAGTGGAATAAGTACTTCCCTGGCAAGCATAAGGGCCTGAGTTCAATCCCTGGTTCTGAAAAAAAAAAAAAAAAAAAGTCTATTGTTTAAAAATAATGAGTAAACTCAAAGCCTGACAACAGGGAAGATCTCAGGGTTTGGGTCCAGGGAGACAGGTCGAATAGCTCAGTCTTGAGGCTGCATTGCAAGCTCAGGCCAGGGGTGATCTGGCCAGTTCTTTAGCAGTGACCAAGAGCTGTGGTGAGCTCAGTGGCTGGGTGACACAGGACAAAGACCTGAGCAGCATCAGGCTCTGGCTGGACATAGTCTGTAGCCAGGGCCAAGCTGGCCCAGTGGGCAGGGAAGGGCAGGGGTGGGAGTAGGTGGGAGTAGCCCACAGTAGCCGTCCTCACTGCCCCTTCCCTGGCCTGTTGCCCGTTGACCTCCCCCTCTGGCTTTGTCTGGTTTCAGGGAGGATGAAGGGCTTTTCCTTGCTAGCCGAGCCTCAGCTGTTCTGGGTGGACAACAGTACTTCGGTGTCTGTGCCTATGATGTCGGGCTGTGACTCCTTCCATTACTGGAGCGACACACAGAACAACTTCTCAGTGATGCATGTGCCCATGGGCAAGAGCACTGCCCTCCTGCTGATCCAGCCCCATTGTGCCTCCAACCTAGACCAGACTATGGCTCTCACCTTCAACCATGACTTCCTGGCACAGATAAATAACCTGGAACCTCGGTAGGGACCCCTGCTCCCCTGGAAAGCTGAGGTGCTGCGCTGGCCCTCTACCCGGGGCATGGTGGCTGTGGCGCTGCCCAGCTGGCTGGGCTGGGTAGTCTCTGTTGTGTCTCCATCACACCATCAGGTGCTGGCACAGGAGGGGAAGTGCACTTCTCACAGGCAGTATTTGCCCTCCAGTTTTGCAGGAACAGAAATGCCCCAACCTGCCCTGGTCCCACACCCACACAGAACAGGTCCAAGGCACCCAGAGCATCTCAGCATAGGTTGTAAGGGCTGTGAGCTCCTGTGAGACTGGAGGAGTGTCCAGGAAACAGCACTGGTTGTGTGAGGGGCTGGGGCAGTGCTGGCTCTGCTCCTTCTGTGACAAGAACATGGCCTCGACCTGCACATCAGATCCAGAATGGTGAACTGCAGCCTGCTTCCAATACAGGCTGGTGGTATCATGATGTCAACTTTGAGTTTTTAAAATGTTCAGATAGGTGGAATTAAGTCTAGTCACAGCGCCACCAATGCCACTGTCCATCTCCTGAACTTTTTCATCTTGTGGAGCAAAACTTCGTTATGCCCAAGATCCCCATTCCCTGCTCGCTCCCTGCCCAGTACTGTAGCCTCTGACCCTGTGCCCTCAGGGTTAACCAGAGCTGCCCCACGAGGATACCCACCTCTTCAGAGTTGCACAATGCCCATCGTTGGCATGCATGCTCTGTCCATCCCCCACCTCTGCATACACACAATGTGACAACACACCACACAGGCTGCTGTCTTCATCCCTTACCTCAACCTGTCTCTACTCTGAGTGCCCGGGGACAGGCAGTGTAACCCCTCTTGTGAGTTTAGACAGTGGCATGTCTTAGCTTTGTTTCAGAACAAACAACCTGCAGCCAGCTCCAGAATCCTCGGGGACAGAGGGTGGCCACTTGCTCATAGTCAGCAAGGTCCTCAGTAGCAGAGTTTCCCTGTCCTTCTGGTACTATTTCAAACAACCTGAAGGTTCCACTGTGTTTGGTACTAAGGTTTTTCCTCAAGGGTGAGGATGCCTGGTTGTATAAGGGGCTGGACAGTGCAGGGCCCTTGCTGTAGAGGTGACTTCCAGGAACCCTAACTATGCCATCCCCTAGGGCCATGTGTTTGACCTTGCCTCTACTGGAGCTGAAAGCATCCTACGACCTGCAGAAGCTGCTGGCGCTGGCCAAACTATCCAACCTACTGGGCACTAATGCCAACCTAAATGGGATCAGCGACACCAGGCTGAAACTGGGAGAGGTTGGTGAAGCCTGCCTCATGTGTCCAATGGGAGGAGGTATGGGTGGAACCAGCAGGGTGGGAGATAATGCAGATAGGGAAGAGCAGTACCCCGCTGGTCTGTTCCACTACCTATTGCAGCGCAGCCCTGACCTGTCCGCCTGCTTGGTCTCTGGGTCTCCTGGGTTCTGTAGCAGGGGTGGTCCAGGATGAGGAGGGTGCAGTGCCCCAGCTAGCACCCTGCCCTCTGCTCCTTGAAGACACTATCACCAGCACTGGGAATGAGGCCTATCTGCAGTGCCAAAGATGCTCTCCCCATTCCAGGCACTGTATGAGTGTTGGAGAGAGCAAATCACTTCTGGGAATGGGTCCTCTGTACTGGGTAGCACGCAGCAGGGAGAGGTGAAACTCCCAGGGCCAGAGTGGCAGGTAGAGATGAACGGGATTGGTCACGGAGTGGCCAATGAAGGGTGTCTTCCTGGCGGGCAAGAGGTCCTCGTCTGGAGGACCTGTGCCTTCCCTATGGGTGAAGCCCGCAGCCCTGGGAGACAGGCCAATGTCCACTACTTTACAGGTGCTGAATGACATCCTTTTTGAACTCAAAGCAGATGACAGCAAGCAACCCATGGAGTCTGCCCCTCAGCCAAACACGCCTGAGGCCTTGAAGGTGACCCTAAGCAGTCCCTTCCTGTTCGCTGTTTACGAGAGGGAGGCGGGTGACCTGCACTTTCTAGGCCATGTGGACAACCCCCTAGGTGTGGTGTGAGGTCGGGGAGGGTGCCCTATTGGGCCACTTGCTGGTTGTGGGACAAAGCCAGCAACAGAGTACCCTGCCATGTCGGTCACCCTTGGCTCTCCTCCTTTCCTTCCAAGAGTGACACTGGGTTACAGCAGTCTCCTTGGTCCACAGTGCTATGTATAATGAGCAATCGACAATGAGCAGCCTTCCAAGCAGGTTGCCTGGAGGATGAGGGGGTGGGAGCCACAGCTGGTGTTGAGCATAGGCCCACTGTTCTGGAAAGAATCGACTAACCTGTAGGTGAAGCCAGAGTTTACTTTTAATTGGATTTTAAAATTAAAGCACACATTTTGTTTAATTGTCTTGGGTTTCTATTTAGCTTATTGAGTGTGACCATGACCTTCATGGGATTTCCAAACTAATCTGTTCTTTTTTTTCTTGTGATTTTTGAAAAAGACAAGACACAAGTGTCTGAATTTAGCTAGAATGTAATACCGGCAGGTGGCTGAGTGCCTCTGTGTTATTAATAAATGTCTTGCAACAATAAGCTAAGAGGAAAAGGAAAAACAAGAGAATTCGTAGCTGCAGAGAGGCATGCCAACGGAGCGCTCTCGAGGCACTTGCTGGGCTCCTGAGGGCCAGACCAGCACTTGGTCGTCCTTGCAGAGCTCCTGGTCAACTCTGCTCTGACGGGCATGATCATCTATGGATGCCAGGGCTGGGAACCTGTCCACACACAGTCCCAGGAGGGAAATGGGACCAAGGATATCGTCCACCCAGGACACGGGTCCAAGAGCTGTTCATATGATATGGGTAGGGGCTGGGAGGTGGAGGAGCAAGAAGCTTCACAGACACATTTGCAGATGCCTCTCCCTCGCTGGTGCCTGCCTGTTCCACTTGATGGGATTAGGCCCACAGCCTCTCATTCTGGGATGGGCTGAGGGGAGGCACTTGGCCGGCCACAGTGACGGGGACATGCTTTCTCCCGAGTCTCATGCACTCTGCCTTCCTCCTGGCACACATGCTGGAGTAAGCAGTGCAGCCTGCTGGCCACTGTGCAGAGCCAAGCAGGAGCTCCCAAAAGTACATTGAGAGTCACTCTGCTTTAGTGGGCCTTGGAGTCACTACCAGGTTGTGGTCCTGGGATGAGAACTATGACTCTGTAGTCACCCTTATGGCTCCATACAGCTCCTGGGGCCAGGAAGCTGAACATGAGTTGGTGGCGACGAGCTGGAGGCCAGGGCTTTCACTACCATTTTTGAGACAAGGTCTTGCTAAGTCGCTAAGGCTTTGCAAGTCTGGGCTTGAATTTGTGCTCCTTCTGCCTCAGCCTCACAGAGGACTGGGATTACAAGCACGTGCCCAGTGGATCTGTATTCATTTGGAAAGGCAGCAGGCAGCCGACTCCTTGACCAGGGGAGGCTGCCGGCGCACTGAGCTGTCACAGATTCTTCTTCAGCTGCACACTGTGCCCTTGTTAGTGGGATGCTTTATCAGAACAGTATGAGTGCACAGAACACTAAAACTTGGCAGGTTTGTGTTAAAATTTAAAACAAAAGCCTTACATCTAGGGGTCTGCTTCTTCAAGACATTTCTTTACTAAATTCTAAGTCTTCCTGGAGTTGATGGTGACTATTCAGCATCAACAGCCACTTTGAGGCTGAGATTTTGGCAGGAGACCTGGACCATGGCTGGCGACGCCACAAACTGCAGCCCAGTACTGGAGCTTTGTGGCAGGCTTCAGAGAGGCAGTGACACTCAGCATTGCTGAGTCCAGGGTCACACCCGTTCTCTGGGAACTCCACAGAGCAGGTGGGAGACCGGGACCTGTGTGATGGCACTCCAAATCCACTTGCTAGCCTTTCCCAGAAGTGAGGGCTAGACTTGTTCTCAATTCACATGACTGAGCTGCGCACACTGGAGGGTGGGAACACCACCTGTCAGCCAAGTCACTTTGTGGGCTTGCTCCGTTTCTTCTACTTGGGTAAGTGGAGAGTAGGCAGGCCGGGTGGCAGCTTCCAAGACATGCCACGTCTGAGCCTTGGAAGCTTAGTGTAGGGCTGTGCTGAGCAAAGCGCTCTGGGGCATAACTAGGCCAGGAACCTGCTAGCAAGATCACACTGGGTGAACCAGATGGGTCCCAAATCCTGTTGAGATTTAGACAGGTGTCCTGAAACGTCAGAAAGGGAGGCCACGGGGAGTGCAGGGAGAACTGCGAGAGGACAGGTGCCATGGTAGTTAATCTGTCTGTGCAGGAAGGGAACACAGGTGGGCCCAGGGTGAACCTGGAAGCAGAAGGGGATGGCAGACTTCCCAGTAGCTGAGGTTCCCCATGACTGCCTGGCTGCCCCCATCTGTGTCTGTTATACTAGCAATAGATCAACTTGTGCCTGAGACAATTTTGTATGTTAATGTTGAAAACAAGCCCTTTTACAGCAGAAAGTACTGTCCTACTTTTTTTTGTATTTTAGGGAAGGGTCTACAGGGTGTGGGGTCTCACTACTAGATCTGACTCACAGTGATTCGCCTATTTACAGCCTCCCAAGTGCGGGGATTACAGGCGTGCACCACCACGCCCAGCCTCAATTGCCATTTCAGCGTGTTCCAGAGGCGAGGCCGGCACAGCAGGCCCGGGAATTGAACCCCTGGCCCCTGCGCCTGCTTGTAGGCACTTTAATCTGAAGTACTAACTACTACTTTAAGACTTAGTAATTCTTTAAAGCGAAAGTAGTAAAAATGAATCAAAAAAAGGAGAGCTATTTTGTGAGCCAGACAAGCACTCTCAAACTTAGAAGATGGTTTCTGCAGCCAGAAGCAGATATGACAGTGAGGCTGTATCATCCTCATGGGGACTCAGCAAGCAGTGGTGGGACCAAATGAGGGCTGGGCCCCAGCTTGGTGGATGAGGCAGCACCCGGGGCCCCTCTGGCATCTGTGTGGGTACTGGCACCGGGAGGAAGGAAGGGCTGCAGGTTGCTGGCAGGGGGGGCCTGGGATTCCACTGGGTTACGGCCTGCTACACTTGTATGATGGAAATGGTGCTACAGCTGCGGGTCTATAAACTAAGTTCTTGCTTCGCAACAGGCAAGAATGAAGCAGCAGTGGAGGGCATGGGGGCGCTTCAGATCTCTGATGGGGGAAGGCTGGACTGAAGCATGCGCTGGCAGATGTGCAAGTAAACCAATCCCACTCTGGGCCTCCAACAGTGCTCCAGCATGGGCGGGGGGTGTGCGCTGCCTGCAAGGTGGGCCCACTGGCTTCTGCGGAAGACACCTGGTTATTCTTTCAGGGGACAGAGCTCCCACATGCAAGGCACTATGTGGACAAGACCCTCTGGTCATGCTGAGGGAGGTACTTCCTGGCAGACTGTTTAAGTACAGGGTGCGAATGACAGGTGTACCTCACTGTGCCGAAAATCACAAATGAAAGACACATGCCTGTGGCAGACGCTGCTTTTATTTAGGAAATAAATCTTCCCTCCTAGCTTTGCTCATGACAGAGGTCAGGTGACGATCAAGAAGGACTCTCGGTACTGTTCCACGTCACTGGTGTCTCGGAAGCCCGGGGCTGTAGCATCAGGCGCCTCTCCTGCCACAGGCCCGGAAGACAGCTTCGTATCCACACCTGCATATGCACTGTAGTCCCATTTTAGAAATCAGCTCTTTCATACTAAGATTCACAATAAAAATAAAATAATCTGTTCTGTAAACTATAGTAAAAAGTTTCAAATGTCTTTAAAAACTATCTTCCATACAATGGAAAAGGCTTTGTTCTTTTGGGTGACGGAAGACCCAAGTGTGTGGAGAAGGGTGCGGGTGCTATCAGCAGTGCTGAGGACAGAGCCACTCTCTCCTCCCGCACTTCCGCTCAGGGCTGCTCAGCCGCTGCCTGGTCCCTGGCGGCCACCACAAGCTCTCTGAGGGCCTCGAAGCTTTTGATGCTGCTTGTCTGCAGGCCCATCTTCCGAATCTGTGTAAGGTCATGAGAGTGAGCAATGTGAATGCGATTTAAATTGATTGTGGAAAAGACCCTTACAAACATCAGGAAAAATTCTCTACCCCACCCTCCACCAGAAAGCCAGGGCTCCCAAAGGCCTGCAGAATACTTGTTCTTTAGAGCAAAGGGTCTATTTATATTTTGGGGTCAAACACTTTGCATGCTAAGAAGCCAATCTGTTAATTTATCTCACTCTGACCAGGATAAAAGCCTCTTTTGTGGATCTTAAGAAAATGTTAGAAAAGAAAATTCATACTAAAAGAAATTTTCAAAAGTAAACCATTTTTAAAGTGGTGAATGGTGAACCTTTACAAAAGTACTGGCCCGAGCTCCCACTTTCTGACCTGGCCACCAACAGCCTTCCCTGGGAACCCGAGAGCCTGGAAACACTCTTGGCACGGCAGCTGCTGAGCCGCCTCTGGCAGCCAAGACTCGGCACACGGTGTTCCTGCTTGTGTTTAAAAACAGTGGCCACACAGGCCTGGCGAGGCAGGCACTGGCATGACTCAGCATGGGGCCTGGAGCCTGGGCCTGTGGGAGCCCCTTTCTCCCTCTCCCCTGTTCTTTTACTTATTTGCTTTTCATGATTCTCTAGTTAGCTTTCTTGTTTATAAAAAGACTTGACCTTTCTTTTGAAATAAAGAAACAAGGCAGTTGACAAGGAGGCATCTGTAAATTCACCGCAGATGGAATGAACTTAGAATTTCAGGTGGCGCTGGTGTGTGCAAGACACTGCTCAGGACCAGAAAGCAAGTGGCTTCTCTGGACGTCATACCACCTTATTCTTTTCTCCACAAAGGCCTCCCGTGAGGAGCTCCTGCTCCGTGGAGAGCAGCGGCTTTAGACATCTGCAAGTGCTGTGACACGGAGGGCACCCCACCCCACAGTCCATGATACCCACATTGCCCCCAACACCAGCCACACGACGTTACCTTCATTCTAAAATCTTTTATAAACAACTGACAGAACCCAGGCAGGACTTAACGAAGCTGTGCCTAGACCTCACCCCTTACCACACAGGTGGAGGAAGTGCTCCTCGGTGTCATCCACACACCAGACCTCTGTGGAGCAGGGCGTGTCCTGTTGTGGGCTTGCAGCAGCATGTGAGCAGGGCACCATGACCCTAGCAGACACTCACAGCACCAAGCCCAGCAGAGACACTGAGGAGAACTCCTGGCACCCTTCTCCTTCTCCCTGGTTCCTACTGCAGATCTCTGGCCTTCACAGTAACCTAGGCCTGCCTCGCAGATAAGTTCCAGCAACACCACCTTGGGCCCTGGACCCAGCTCTCCAACATATACCTGTTCTCCCAAATACTCCACATCCAAGGCCAGCTGCAGCCGGATCTTGTCATCGTCACTCATGCCACCGCTCGGGCCCATGGTGCTGGTGGCAGGGGCTCTCCTGGCTTGCTTCAGTCTCTTCAGGCTCTCCTCCATCTTCTTCACAGAGTTCAGGACGTCTGACACAGTCTCACAGTACCTTCGGCACAAGACACAGTTACTGGTAAGACACTGGCTTTGTGAACAAAACAACTATAGTACATGTTTCTTCAGATTTTAAGAAAGTCATAAGAGTATAGCATTTCCTGAGAATGTGAGATACATGCACAAATTCTGTTCAAAGCTTTAACCTGATCCCTAAGAGAAACTGACAGGCCAGTATCTTTCACACTATGGAATCTGCAGCATGTTCCATACTGAACCACAGGTTCATTCCAAACTGGCCATTTAAAGCATAAAAGAACTTTAGAACTTTAAATAAAGCTTATTACTTTCCAAATAGTCTCAATATAATCTTCAAATTATAAATGAGGTGCATTTCTAGACTTTGTCTACAAGCTGGGCATTTGATATATGGAATACTGCTTGCCCATAAAGGTCATATTATCCCTCACTATTGTATTCTAAGTAGCCTACCAATGGCTGTTTAACTCATGAATAATGGAAATAATAAAACACTACTGAAAAGTTGATAATTAAGTGAAATCAATAATAAAGCAAATAATAAAATAGTAATAACTTTTTTGGCATTTTTCAGTACCAGTACTGGCCCCAGGGCAGGATGGACTGGACAGGAAGAGATGCTCCAGGGTTTGGGGATTATGCTTTACAGAAGGTTTTTTTTTTTTTTTTTTTTTTTTGCGGAACCGGGGATTGAACTCAGGCCCTTGCGCTTGCCAGGGAGGTGCTTATTCCACTGAGCCATCTCCCCGGCCCCTGGGATTATGCTTTAAAATGTACATTTTCTCATCTCAGTTACAAGGGTTCATCTGGGAAGCCCCAGGAAGGGAGACCCTTTCATTACCTGGTGTGACCAGAGCCGTGTTACACTGACAGAGACAAGGAAGGACCTGGACAGGGAACAGGGAGGGGAGGACAGTAAAGGCAGTGGCTGGGGGATGCTAGCCAGCTTGGCTATGGTCCAGGTGGAAGAAGAGGCCTGCAGAGCTGGAGGGCCGTGGAAAGGGAAGGGAAGAAGATGGACCGAGTGACCACATGCTGCCTAATCTGGGGCCGTTGTTGTGATGCTTATAGTCAAATCCACACACTGCCCAGTGAGGCCTCAGCCTCCCCAAGTAAGTCATGGACAGCCCACTCGAAAGCCCACTTACTTGTGAGTACTCTCAGAGAGAGCTCCTTCCAGCCACTGCTGCATCACTGGGGGCTTCAGCTTATCCCTGTGACCACTCTGAAGCTGGTAAAATGGCTTCAGTGCACTGTCCACATAAGACGAGGCTGTGGTTGGGACCTCCTGGAGTCATATAGGTAGGGGTTACAGAGAGGGAGGGGAGGGGAGAGAGGAAGGAAGGGGGAAGAGGGGAGGCAAGGGAAGGGAGAGAGGGGGAGAGGAGGAAAGGCGGAAAGGGTGGGGGAAAAGGCAAGGAGAGAGGCACCTGTCAGACTCTAATGCAAGAGGAAAAAGAGCCACACAGGTCAGCACTAAGGTCAGCTCCATGATGGAGTCAGAGAGCTGCATGCAGAGCATCCCAGCACATAGCAGAGCGAGGCCTACAGAGATGTGGCCCCCACACTGAGCTGCATGGCTAAAAGGAGTAGGTGGCCGAGAGACAGGCCCCTATACAGAGTAGGTAAGCAAAAGCATGCCATAAACCATTTTCATAGCTCCTGAGAATGAGTTCTGGGAGCAAACTAAGTAAAAGGCATTAATTTAATGTCAAAAATCTCCAAATGGAGAAAAAAAAAATTAAAAGAGAGAATTATGTAAGATTTAACATGAAATGAGATCAAATGCATGAAAATGAATATTCAGTTGGTAAAACAATTCTTTAAATCACTATTCTTTAAGAATAAATATTGGGGCCTGCCCCTTAGCTCAATTCTTTAAGTGGTTGCTTCAACAAAGCAGTCAGAAAAAACAAAAACAAAAACAAAGCAGTCAGGCTCAGGTTCTGTGGTTCGATCCCCACAACTCAAGCCAGCCAAACCTGCCCTGAAGGCATTCGGAGCAAAAAAAAGAAAGAATAAACAGAAAAATCTGTCCTTGACCATCTCTGGCAGCACTTCTTTTTAATCTTAGCAAATGCCTTTCACTTTTTTTGCAGCTGTGGAGATTGAATCCTGACCTTATTGGTTCTTCGGTAAAGTCTGGGGACCTCCAGGGCACTTCTCAGGTAACTGAAACAAGATTCACTCAGGTCGTGTGTGATCCTGTGGTTCAGGACAGGCACACAGGCCAACAAGGAGCTCTGCGAGTCTTCCAGGGCTGCTGCGGGAGCAGGAAGATGGGTTTAAGATCTCTGTTCCAGGCAGATGTAAGCTTTACTTTAAATACTATCATAGTATTGAGAAAGGGTACTACAACAAATCAAGTCAAATCATTAGGATTAAACCAAAGATCTTTTTAAAAGAAGTTAAAACCACAGAACAGAATACAAAAACAACCAAGAATTTACAACTAGGGAAGAAAATGTTGAATATATAGTATGGAGGGCTGGGAATGTACAGCTCAGTGGCATAAACACCTGCCTGGCAAGTGCAAAGTCCCAAGATTGATCTCAGTACACACACCCTCCCCCCCCCACACACACACAGAAAGAAAGAAAAAATGAAAGAAATACATATCATCTCTTTTTTTTTGTATTTTAGGTAAGGGTCTATAGTGTGTTCAGGGCCTCACTACTGGATCTGACTCATAATCTGCCTGCTTACAGCCTCCCAAGAGCTGGGATTACAGGCACACCACCATGCCCAGTCTCAACCACACCCTAGGGGGTGGGGCTAGCATGCCAGGGCAGACCCAGCCCCCCTCCCCCCACCCCTGCTTGCAGGTGCTTTAATCTGCTGAGCTACTTGGCTGGTCCTCATCTCTAAAGTTTTATTTTATATTGTTTTTTATTCAGAGGTCTGCTGAGTATAAAGATTAAGGTTTACCTGAGATAGAAGAAAAGTTCTTAAAGCCAATCATTTCAAGTTTTGGTTTGATAGTCTCTAAGAGTTCTGGGAGCTGGAAAACACAGTTTATACATTCAGTTATCAGTTATAAGTCAAAGATAATAAAATAAAAAAATAAACAGTGGCAATTCTACAAACTCAGACTATCATTAATGAGTGGTAGAACTAAAATGAAGACATTCAGTAATATTCATTTAGAGAAAGCAATACTCAAGGCTCCCACAAGAGATGTCAATAACATGGGAACCACTGGTAATGCCAGGCTACTGACAGGCCCAGAGAAGAGCACAAATCTATTTTGTGTCTCCATCACACAGCCCACAGTAAAGACCATATTCTTGTTCAAAACATACAGATGCACCTTCTCAAACACAAAAAAATATTAAACTTGCAAAAAATAGTTACTTATTAGAGGATATAAACACTAAAATCTGTTTTATAAAGTTCTCTTAATGATAAAAGCAGAAACACCAGAGCCCTATGTAAAGCAAACAGGGAGAAGTTTTAATATATCAAAACATTCAACTTTTAAGTGTTAAATGACCATTTGGGTCAGTGAACCAAACTAACTAAAATCTAGCCCAATGCAGGCATGCCTAAGTAGACCTCAGCTACTAAGGGGAAAAAACCCTAATAGTGGAGCAGGCACTGATGGGAGGAAGCAGGGATGATGGGTTGGCATGGATGGCATCAGGGTCTGGCATGAGAGGAGGACCACAGAAGGAGAGCAAAAACCAGCTGAGGAAGCCCATGATGGTCTCCTCAGAGAACTCACAGTCCTAGTCAAAAGCCCATGAAGCCAAATATCATCTGCCTTTGACATACAGGACTTGAAACACTGTGCTAACACCAAGAACTCTGGGATACAGGCTCACCTGCTCCTGAAGCCTGTCCAGGTCTGCAACCATGTACACAAGCTGAGTGCTGGAAACAGACGCCACAGACCTCCCATCTGAAGGAGCACTTCCCTGGTCATCGCCACCTCCCTGGGCAGTGGGAGTGTCTTTGCCACTAGCCGCCAAAGGTTTTTTAATCTCCTTGGTACTTTCATTAGAAATGGGCCTGTGAGAAAGCTGAAAAAGGATTCTGGTGACAAGACGCTTCCACACTAACAAGACACGTGAGTGTATATATAGCTCAATAGTCCAGCACATGACCAGAGCCATCTGCAGCGCCACAGTGGAAATGTACTAAGGGAAGACACTGCCTTTACACCTCATGTGCACGTAACCCCCTTCTGTCCCCTATGTCTAACTTCTAGGGATAAAAAGCAGAACATAAATAGTCCCCAGTCACAGTGAAATCAGTTTCTGGAACATCACAGATTTTTAAAAAATTAACTGTAGTAGTAAATAACATACCAAATTTATTAAGTAAATTTACTTATAACCAATCAGAGTAAAAAAAAAAAAAATCAAAATTCAACCTTCATTATTCTTCAACTAATACAAATAGCAAAATCGTTTGTTCAAGGGTAAAACCAAATTGATTTGCATCAATAGAAAGATGGGATAATGCACATGTAAGACAATAATCGAGAAACAGAGAGGAATGAGCAGCTAGCAAGCCTGATGATCTAGGACTCAGGCGCTGCCACCCCTAGGACTGTAAGACAGCCTGTTAAGACTCTCCTGAACAGAGGGAAAACGGAACTGACTTCCACTGAGCTCTCAACACTTTAGTATTTGTTGGGTGTTTCAGTCCACAAATAAATTCTCACAACAGAGGCCATAATCATATTTTACAGATTCACAACCCCAGTCATGAAGATTACAGCATACCCCGGTAAACTGCAGTTTGGAGTTGGCGGCTTCAGTTGTTTAAGGATTTTTTCCTTAGAATATAACTAATGATTGTTCTTAGAAACCCAATATCCCTGCAATTGTATTTTTGGCGGGAGGTTTGCAAGTAGCCAATCCAAGAGCGTTATTCAGTTCTCCTTGCTGCTGACTGGCTGCTGCCCTGTAACCCATCTCGGGCAGATGAACGAGCATTCCTGCCTCATAACAGCTTGCTGTACACTGTGCAGCTATCTCAAGTGTTTTGTTCTTCTTAAAAGCCCTAAAATCCCTATGATGCAACCGAAATGCCCTGAATAATATAAAATTTTATTAATACAGTTTTATTAAATAAAATGATATAACTACAGGAGACACAGCCTATTTAGGGTTGAAACTATAAAAATAGTAATTTATAGGGATTTTTCTGACCATTATCTGAAATTCAGTTTTTCATCATTCTTGGGTGCTCTAGGAACATTATGTAACCCTCATGAACTGTGGACATTTATTATATTGTGCTCAAGCCCATAGAATTCAGTTATAGCCAAGGCCTAACCCTGCCTGGCTTCAAAGCCACTGCTCCGCCCATCAGACGGGTAGAAGCAGGGCTCAGTCTTCTCTGGACAGAAGCCGTACTCCTTCAGCAGGAATATGTCTGCACAGTGCCATCCTTAGTGTGGCTTTTAAAGTGCATCCTCGCGTTCTCTGCACCACGATGACTACTTTTCAGCAGTGTCTGTCACTGAGACTGCCCTCGGAGATGGCAGCTCTGTAGAGGCCAGGCAAAGCTGGTGCTGTGGACCGGGAGCAGCAGCAGCAATGCCTCAGTGGACCAGGAACCTTGGGCTTTCCATATATGTCAATTAACATGTTCATGACAGATCTGAAATCTGCATGTTTTGGTGCAGGAGCACCTTGAACCTTTGGCGATACATGCACAATTGCCCATCAGGCAGCTTTAAACTAATTTTATTAGCAAAAAGACCAGTAAACATGATTAGATCCATTTGGCCACCAGTGGTACAAGCCACAGTGTGCAGGAACATGTCAAAAAGAAATGTAAAAAGAGAAAACGACATACTAAGAGAACAGTTTAATCACTTTTTTATTTCCATGACATAACTTTTTAAAACCTCCAAATAATAAGTGCTCAATATACTCTGCTCTCTAATCATTTTCATTAAAGTGAGCATCTGTTATAATCAAAAGGACCTCAAAAGTTCCGGTTTTGAGAAGGGAAAATGAATTTATCAGGGACAGATCCCTGTCAGATTAGGACTGAAACACAGTTGGACACCAGCTGCTGCCTTCTATGGAATTAGCCTGTGCCAACTATAAACATTTTAAAAACTTCATTTGAGTACCTTTCTAAAAGTACCTTTAATTCTTATCCATCCTGGTTAGTGAGGAGCCGAAGGCCAGAGCTTACCTCATTGACAAACATGGAGAATCGTGCCAAAATCTGCAGTGTGAGTCTCCACAGACGATGTGCCAGCAACGGCAAGAACATCTCATCTGACCAGCACTTTCTCAGGCTGCTCCATGTTCTGTGAGAAGCCAAAAGGCAATACGGACTTCCAGCTAGAGAAAAACCATGGACTTAGGGAGTTTCAATCCCTTACAAGCTTTAATCTTCTGTAGAATTCCAGTGTACAACACAAGATTAAAAGCAGGTATTTGGAAGGACAGTGTGGTCAGCAGAGCTGCTAATGGAGGCCGTGGAAGACCACATGGCCATTCCCTACATTTATAATGCAACATGTTTGATAATTCACCTGATACCACCTCCCAGGCATGTGGGAGAACACCAAACATACACAGCAACCTGAAATTTCTTTTTTAACAGATACTTCACACGAAATCAACAAACACAAGCTCAAGAAGCAGTCACTCACAAGGGCTTAAATTTTAGTTCTGAATTGTCCTATGTCTCTTGTCTCTTCCTCTATACCTCAATACAGCTGCTCTAAATATAAGTCAACTACACATGACCATCTTCAGCAATGACAGACAGAACCTGCCTCCAAAGCTGAGAAGGGTGGTGAGACAGTGGACCTAGGTGCATGAGGAGAGCAGGTACTTCAGCTGTGGAACCTAGGATCTCCATAGCTACAGGAGCAGCCCCTCTACATTTCAGTGGTCTTGAGGAGTGGCTATAACATGACACAGAAGCACTGAAGCTGCTTGGTATGCACACATGTTCTCTAAGTCTGCATACATACAACCCCTACCTACCAGTGCCCAAGACAAGAGGCCAGAGACCAAGGGCAGAGAACAGAGGCACAAGCATGTGTCCCAAGTCCACAAGTGGGAGGGAAGCAGACTGCAGTGATCTGCTGCAGAGAAGAGACGGTGTGAGCACAATAGGGCTAAAGATCTTGCATGCTACATTCAGGATGGAAAAGGAGGTCTGCTTCCTTCTGATTCCATAAAGCATCCTTTTTATCATCTCCATAAAGCAAAAATCTCAGTAAGTCAAAGATTCGGCTTCTTACAGCCTTATAAAAATAAAAGAAGTTGGGCTTGAGTAAGCCCAGTGATAGAGTGATTGCCTAGCACACATGAGGCCCTGGGCTTGATCCCAGCACCACAAAACAAAACAAAGCAAAATAAAACCAAAAAAGTTAAACTAAGTGCCCTTCAGGTCCAGCTTACTTTATGATGGGGAACGGTGAGCACTCTCGGAAACCAAGGTCTAGCTGGCTGGTGAGCCTAGCTAACCTCAAGGACGCCTGCTGTTTCCACTCTCACTAAGGAGGTTACCTGGGGCGTCTTCCAGCCCATCTGCAAGTGCAGCTTCCAAGGATCCTGCCACTTCTCTAAACCTGAGAAGAGAACACAGGTCAGTGCCAAGGGTTCTGCCAGGTATCTTTACTCATCCACACCCCCATAACAGGGCTCCCCACTCGTGGATTCTCAGAGACACACAACCAGTTTTAGGATGCTTATTCTCCCAAGCTGCTTTTTTATCTTCAGAGAAACTACCTTGACTAATGACTCCACTGTTGGGTATGGTTTTTCTGCTACTGCACATATTCTGAATCATAACTCCACGGTTTCAAAATGAATGCACTGTCATGCTAAGCGCCTTGGGGAAAGTCCCTGCTGGCTGCAAACATCAAATTACCCCAAGGCCACACAACTAGAATTCCAATCCACCAGCATTGGTACTACAAAAGGAAGGAAACATCTCAAATGAAAAACTCAAAAGCTGTGTTTGGCATGTGTGCTTGCAGCCTGATAAAAATCCCTGAGGCAGCCAGTTAGACCCAGAACTCGGAACCCTAGCAGCCCTCTCTGCTGCCCATGCCCCTGCCCTGCTGGTCACTGCTGCTTAGCAGCCACATTGTTTCCTGGACAGGTTTGCTTCCTTTGAGGACAGACTGTCCATTACAGACTTCTGTCTCTAACAGGGTTGGGAGAGTTTACAAGATTAACAGAGACCTTGTGCTTCCATGATATGCAGAATGTAGCTATTGTACAGCTGGTCACTTCCACAGGCATCTTATTTCCCAATTATGTGACTCTCCCATCTTTGTACCCTTGTTGCAGCACTCTCTTCTTTCGATGGTTAGCTCCTTTGCTAACAGTGAATTCTGACTCATGTTTAACATCACTTTATCTAAGGGAGTTTTGATAGCACATGTGCCTTTAAAAAGCAGTGTGCAGACTGAAGAGCAAAAGAGCTACTATTTCAGACAGCACAGCTGATGTCATGATGTCTGTGTCAGTGCTAGAGCTGCTGGTCTTTGCAGTCGCCCCATCTACTCTGTGCAAGGAAGGGGACCAGACTGCTGCCCAGGGAGGCCCACAGAAGGCAGGCTGGAGCATAGGAGGGACACATGAGGGAGCAAAAAAGTGGGAGAAGAAAGTCAGAAAGAGAAAGGGAGGCAGTGACTCTAAGCAAAAGGACCAGAAGAGAGGGATCACTCTGTGGTAGAGCTCACAGCCATCAGAGAGTCTGGCCTCTGGCCCCACCAGCACTTTTTCGAAAATCTGCACAAAACTTAGCAAGTGAACCTAGCAGAGAGGCCTGTGGCTAGCTTGGTACCATCTGTAGCAGCAAAAGGCTGGGGGAAACCTATGTAGCCAAAGCGAGATATAGTTAAATAAGTGTGGCATAGTCAATAGACTGGAACCCGGCACCAAAGCTGATGGTATGACGTGAAGCAATGCCAGGGAAGCAGGAAAGACATGGGGTATCAAGTTAAGTACACATTTATGATAATTCTCAAGCAAAAAAGCATAGGAAATAAAGGCAGCAGGGCTCTGATATCTGTGCCTCCCACACAGTGGCTTGCCTATCTGTGGATATGAGTAAGGATGCAGAGATGCAGAATGGCTTAGTCATGTGACACAACTCTGCCTCCTGGCCAGGAGCCTCTCACATAACAAAGATCACATTTCTTGGAAAAAGGCAAAAGGGGAGAAGACACCTTGGGGAGGTGTGAAGAGCTGTGCTACGGTTTTTTTTTTTTTCCCCCAAAGTTTTATTGATAAACATATAGCAATGAGACAGTTTCAAATCAAATAGAAAGTACAGTTTCAACAAATAATACACTGCATATATTCTTCTTAGTGGTTAATTGCTGTACAAGATGCAGACTTGTGATCCTACTTACAAACACCATT